AGTTAAATACAGGAGAAAAGGGCCGCCTCAGAAGCTGCTGGTGTTCCATCCTTCACATGCAGGGAACAGCGGCGTGCGGGCAGCCTGTGCTCCTTCTCCTTCGGGTAGCAACCTGGCCTCCAGACCTTATTCTTGAACGCAGTGCACTTTGTACATATTTAGTAATTCTCTGAGCAGTTCTCGCCTATGAACTTTTTTGTTTGAAGCACTATGAAATTTTGTCACTCTCCGAGATTCTGTCACTCTGGAACACTTAAAGAAACAGCTCCTTTTGATTTTTTTTTTTTTAGCCAGTCCCTTGCAGCCCACACTTGTTTTCTAGCTCTTGCCTTGGAAAACAGCAGTTGATCTCTGCCCATGCTGTTCATGCCACTCATGATCACAGGCTCTGTCATTCCCCTGCTCAGTTACTTCTTCCTCGTACTCCTTCCCCTGCCAAAGCTATTCAGATATTTGGATGTCTCACTGCCCTTCTTGAACCTTTTCTAGTTTCAGTATTTTCTCTGCGTTTTGTTGAATTGAAGGGACCAGAACTCCTGTTTAGTTTTGTTCTGTATTCTGTATGTGCTGGTATCTTGGAGCTCTCTGTGGATCCTTTTAAATTTCTTTGTAAATGCTACTTAATCATGTTCTCATCAGACACCATTCCCACTCAGGCAGGAGACTTCGGGATTATGGTATGTGATTCTCCAAAAACATCATCTCAGTGGTGGCAGCCAGAAAAACACATCAAATGTCAGAATTTTTAATGAAAAGAAATAGACTGACAGAAAACATCATAAAATGACACATAAATGTGTGATTGCCCATATCTTTTGATATTGTCTACAGTTCTCATCTCAAAATAACGGTACATTAGAGGTGTTTAACAAGGATGAGCAATATGGAAAGACTTCTGTCACCTAGTCAGTGGAGTGCGTTAAGAGCCAACTTGGGGCGTGAGAGAAGGGGAATGACTTACCATTGTCTGTGAAATGACGTGGAGTGGTGTGGAAGAGTGTATAAGGGCCAATACACAAAGTAGTTGCATCACATGAAGCCAGTAGCCATGTTCACAGCAAGAAGAGATGGTTTTTCATAAAATAAAACTTCTTACCAGCTCACATTGTAGATTTTAAAAAATTATGTGAATTTTAGGGATACTGGACAAGTGTCTCTGAAAGGACTGCATTCACAGATCACTTCAGATGCAGAAACAGTTCCCTTAGTGGAAAATGGTTAAGAGTCTGGCAGAGTATAGAGTGGAGAGGCACCACATATACTTGCCTTATCTCGCTCCTTCTGAGACAGTTGCTTTTGACTGCCTTCAGGAATGACCAGCATCAACCCTTGATCTGAACTAGTACAGCTTTCCTCTTGAGCCATGTGTCATAGACATTAACAAAAAGTTCTCCAGACTTAATCCTGAAATGGAGCCATTCTCAGATCTGTGGCCAGTGAGCTGGTCCTGGTCCACAAATCCTGACTTGTCTGTCTGTCTCTAGTTGTCGGGGGACACAGGATTTGGATCCCTGTACGCATTCAGGAGCTGAAGCTTGAGCAGAGTGCAGTACCTCCCTGGTTTTAAGCTAGTAGGGCATGTGTCCAGCTTTTTAATAACTCTCCAGTGCCTCTGATCAGGACTCGTTCACCTCCAGCCAGGTGGCTGCAGCCCCTTCCAGGCAATTTTCATTACAGTGACACGCCGTTGTCCAGGTTTTCTTGATATGTGTTACAAACACCATACATGCTGGCTAATAAGAGAGACTGAGCTGTGTAGAGAAGGGACTAAGGCGTCTGCAGGCACCTCCACCCCCTTCATCCCGCCTGCTGCACTGTGCGAGCTTTAGGCCATGTGGTGTAGCTGTAGTCACCTCACTTTTCATGTTTTATGGAAAGATCAGGCCCTGTAGGGGCCAGTAGCATTCCAATTTGCCATTTTACCTTCTGAACACAACCCTGCCTGTTCATGTTCCACTCTATCTGTGGGAGCTTATCCCTTTTTTCCTGCTTTCCTTTAGATGCTTCACCATGAGTCTTATTTTTCCAAACTCTGTATGCAGCGTTCTAGAGCTGTTCTTGGAGATCTGATTTCTTTATTGTTTTGCTTTTTAATTAGGTGCAAATGCAACACTTAAGAATTAGTAGTAAAGGTTTGCCACGTTGCTAGTTTTAAACCTTACATTCCTATCAATAAACAGGTTTAATGCTGGTAATGTGGCTGTATCAGCACTGTACGTGTTAGGAGCGCTCTGAATCCCAGGGCACTCCTGAACTGCAGCCCTCTCACTCCTCATAGAGACTCTGCGTGAGGCCAGAGCCTGGGTTGCTGGTGGAAGGACCCAGGGCTTGGGGCAAGCGCGGGTGGGCCAGCTGGAGCCTCAGGGCTCAGGGGCTGTGGAGTTTATAATAGAGTTTAAAGGGCCTGTAAGCGCCAGGGCCACTGTCGGTTTCTCTGCTTCCTCCCGCAGAACTTTCAGGGCTGTTTCTGGACTGGAGAGCAGGGAACTTTCTGGGAGGGGTATAGAGGGGCTTTCAAACAGTAGAACTTGAAGCCAAAGGAATTTACAAGTCTTGCTCACATAAACTCTTACTTTAGTAGTTTTATGATGTAGTTCTTGAGCATGAAAATGTCTTCATGATGATGACTTAAGTCAGTATATGTAGACAATATATGTATGTTCAGAAAAATATTTTGAATTTTGAAGGTGTTCTTAATAGAAGTAGATAATATTTCTGCCATATGTTCTGAGTTACCTCTCCTTGCAACCTCAGAGTTAATTACTGCTTGGTTCCTAAGGCTTTAATTTACAAACCAAAAGGAAGACTATTAAAAAATCAATTAAAATATTTATAGAAAAAAAATATGTCTGTGGCTGATGCCTTTTTATCTCCTGAACCAATGGGTAATGCCTCATCAGCAATTTTATCTGTGAGGGTTTCATTTCATGGGCATGGATTTAGTCCTTGCAAATGCTTGTGTGGGGTCACTGAACATAAAATCAAAATTTCAGCTTTTGACTTAAAAACTGCAAGTTTGCATCTGTTTCAGTTTCTTAGTGTCAAAGCATAGATGTGTCCTTGCCTAGGGGATAGTAGTAAACCAGATCACTACGTGTATGATGCACTTAATAAAAAATAAAGTTGTGAGTTGTGATTTTAAACTTCTAATATCTGTCCTAATGAAAAAAGTTCTTGTATAGGGCCTAAAATGGATTGTAGCATTGCATATTGTTAAGAGCACTATTGCGAGGAACTATATTATCTGTGTGAGCTTGCAGTCATTTTTATAGTGAATACTGTAAATAATACGTAATTTAATAATATAAATAATTTTAAAGCATTTATATTTTATTCAACAAAACACTAGGGACAGAAATTAGCCTTTGTGTTTTTATTAGGCAGCTTGACTCCAGAATTCTCCTCGTGCATGAGGTCCATGAGGCTCATGGCATAGGCAGGTCTTTGGGCTCTGGAGGATTCCCTGTTTGGCCAACCTGGCATGAGAAGCCAGCAAGTCAATAAATGGTACTCTGGAAAAGCCATGAGCTTTACTCTTATCACATGTAGGTTCATACCGTGTCAGTGGAATGGCAGAGTAATTATTTTAGTGAATACTGCTGAGTTATCTCGCAGTGGCAGGGTAATGGTACCATTTTTCCAGCAAGCAGGGAGAAGCTGTGTTTTAGGAAATGTCTTGAAAGCTCTGCTAGGGCGAGCAGTGTGGAGGGACAGGTGGAAGGGGAGGAGACTGCAAATTCTGGAGTTCTCATTCTAATGCAGGGCATGGGGAGAAGAAAAACTGTGAGCAGCTATATTTCAAATTATACTTAAGTTCTGAGGTTGCATGTGGTTCCGATGGCAGGAGGTTCTCTCGGTGACTTCTGCACAAAGGCAGGGTATGCAGGTTTCCAAGTTCTGTTAAAGTCATTGCTCGTGTACTGCATCAGACCCAGAGAAAGCAGGTTTCTTGAGAGAAGTATCTTTTAGCAGTTTTCTCCAGTACTTGTCACATGCTGGGTTCCTGTTTTTGTCCTCTTCGTTCCAGGAGGTGGCACTGTCTTTTCTGGGGAGGACATAAAAACACTTCAGCTTCATCTCTGGGCAGATGCTGCTTACCTGCCTGGGGTGCATAGGGTTAAGTGATACTGTGCAGCGTAACTCAGTTCAAGAGTTTTCTGAAAATGGCTGTACTTTCCTGTTAGTATATACCGTGTCTTTTTGATACATGTCCATGTTCTTACACACAAAATGCACAAATTTTCTGTCCAGTAGTGTTATCTTAGAAAAACATCTTCTCAGGCTTCTTGCCCGCTTTTGTTTGTGGAAGGTTTCTGGCACTGAGGAATCTTTTTATGGTGTGGAAGTAAAAGCTGGGTGATGCTGATCCTACAATACTAGTTTACTTCATTTAATTGAGTCAGAATTGTGTGACTTTTGGAATGACCAGTAGCTATCATTTTTTTCCGTGAGGAAAGGGAATAATTTCCATAAGATTTGCCAAATCTACAAAAGCTTTTTTTTTTTTTCTTTTTTTTTTTTTCTGCAAGGTGATCCAAAAAGGTGTACGGATTCAGGAAAAAAAAAATGCTGTAATGACAACTTCCCTGTAAGAATACAAGCCTAATCTGTGTTGTATAGAAAGGGAGCAGTGTTGTTGCTGTTCCTGAATTATCTCTGGAGATATGTTATTTCCAATCTGCCTTTCGCTGGAGCTCCTCAATAGAGGGAATAAGTTTTATCTTGTTAGGAGGTTTTCCTAATTAGCAGTTAGACTAAATCAGCAGTGACGGTGGAGGTTGTTTTACTTCAGCAGAGTATGCCAGTATTAAAAGTGTTCACCATTAAAAGGGTTAATTTAAATTTCCCCCCCCTCCCCCCCGGTTGACGTCTAGAAAAATGGATGATGATGATGATGACATTCCCCAGCTTTCATCCCATGCGTTGGCTGCCCTCCAGGAGTTCTATTTGGAACAGCAGCAGAGAGAGGGCATGAAGACCTCCCAGGGGTTTAATCAATATTCCGTTGGCTCAATAGAAGAAGACTGGGTAAGAAACTAAACTTCCGTGAATAAAGCACAGTTAGAGGAATAGCCTTTAGCTTTTGTGGATGGATAATGAAAGGAAATTAAAAAAATTAAACACTCAAGATGTTCCTAGAGTAGCAAAATCAAACTATCCGTGGACAGTAACACTATAGGGATATTTGCTTTAATATTAAATTTGGGTATAGTCTGTTCTCCATGTGTATGGGGGGTACAAACTGAAATTACATGGAGAGGTAATAAAGCTGCCAACTGAAGCATCTGTCCCTTCTGGAAATGTTAACTCCAGCCTGGCATGTGAGGGTAGTAAAGATTCTTCCCTGAGTTTGAGACAAATACAGTGTACAAAAACAAATGATCTTTCTTTTCACATGGTATTTCTTTCTGTGTCTTCTTTCTTTGGTTTTGTGGATGGCTGCATTGCTGCTTGCTTTCTTCTGACAGACTGATTTTTAATTTGTCTCTGGGTTGGTTTATTTTTTTACTCTTCCTTTGTCTCATGTCTTCTGATTTAGTAATTTTATCCTTTATTTCCTTCCATATGTCACTTTTCAAGTTCCTTTTTCCTCTTCCACTAAGGTAACTTAGTTTAAGAGCACATAAATATTGTGCATCTGCACTTTGGGTTTGAACTAACTTTGTCAGTGATATTGCATTACTTGGTTTTCCTGATACTGCAGTAAATGCTTTGGAAGCACGCAGGGTAAACTACCTGCTGCTTGCCGCTGGATTACAGAAGTAAAAGGCTATTGGGGAAACAGGCACCTCTCCAGCTTTACAGTTTATGAACTGAGAAGTGCTATGAATTTTGGTTTTCTTCAAATATGACTCGCAACACCTGACTGCACGTAGCACAGTCGGAAGACGTCTGTAATTGTGTGTTATCTTTCTCAGCAACTGAGCCAGTTTTGGTACAGTGATGAAACTGCGTCATGCCTGGCTAATGAAGCGGTTGTGGCAGCTGGAAAAGGTGGCAGGTAGGTGTTAATAATTACGTTGTAGATGTAACATGTCTTTTCTGTAAATACTTCATTTCTACTATGTAGACAGAGCTGTAGTTTAATTCATTACTCATTGTACTTCATCTTTGTTCAGTGGAGATGTTGCAGGAGTGCTTTGCTGTTATTTATTTAATTAACAGTAAGATCAGTATGGACTATTTAGCATTTCATCGAATGTTGCAGGCTCTGCCTTGAAAAAAGTTTACTTTTTTTTTTTTTTGAGAAATACAAAGAGCTTCACAGCACATTAATGACTTGTAATTCTCTTCTCTGTTTTCATACAATGTCTCTGTAGAGCAGATGGAAAACCTTGGTTTTCTGCCTATTTCTGTAAGGAGTCATTTTTAATTTTAAGTTTTCAAGTTGCTGTTCTGAAAGAAGATTTTGTGTTAAGCTTAAGGTCTTTGTGCAGCATGGAGGTTGATACTATTAAGGTAATTATTTGTTAGAATGGAGGAAGAATAGCTTACATTCTTGGGACTAATGTTTAAAATGTTTTCCCAAAGCAGCCCTGAGGACTGCTGTAGGGTTGGTTGTTGTTGTTGTTTGCCTTTTAAATTAATATTCTAAGTTATTGTCTCTTTTTCAGGATAGCATGTGTTAGTGCACCAAGCGTGTACCAGAAACTGAAAGAACAGGATGGTAAAGATTTTTCAGTGTGTGTACTGGAGTACGACAGAAGGTTTTCTGTATATGGAGAAGAATTTATCTTCTATGATTACAACCACCCTTTGAACTTACCTGAAAATCTCCTGCCACACAGTTTTGACATCGTAATAGCAGATCCACCCTATCTCTCTGAGGAATGTCTTCAAAAAACTGCAGAGACCATAAAATACTTAACAAAAGGAAAGATCCTGCTTTGCACCGGTATAATTAATAAAAATACTAGGTCACTAACTCAATAATAACAATTTTATCATTAATTCAAGTAGGAATATATATCCTAAGCTTTTTATTGGAATACTTCAGTTCAACCTTTATTTTAAACTGAAGGCATATGGTTTTTAATAGTTAGAAGTCAGTACTTTTTCATATGGCATTACAAGTTTTACTAAATTTTTGATGAATTGTAAGATTGTCCTGCAAAGTTCCACAAATATTTTTTTCTTGTAAAAGGGACACTTTTGATAATTGCAATGGTTGAATTCTGGGAATGACAAACATAGGCACAACTTATTGGTTATGTCTTATTGAATAACCGTACAAATTTGTGATTTTCTAAACATGTCTGCAGCTGCAGGGTTTCAGCTGCCACATACTACTTAGCATTTAAGACGAGCTAAGTAGAATGAATGACAAATAGGCTGGAATGGCATTTGCTCAGTCAAGTGGGATGATCTTAGCTAAATCTTGAAAAGAAAAACAAAGTCAACTTTTTTTTTTTTCATATTACCTGTCCTTACTGGTAAACATAGAAACTGTAATGTGAATGAATGTATGAGGGGTTTCTGCCACTGTGATACAAGTAAGGAGATCTTAGGCACCGAAATGCAGCAGGAGGAATTAAAAACCAGTGATAAGAGCCATGAAACTGGATAACTTACCAACTGTACTTGCAGGTCCTTCTTTATGAAGATGCACTTGCTGGTTTAAGAAGCTATGTGTATCTGCCTTAGTCGTGATGTTTCTTAAGCTGTCATCTTACTACAAGACATCTGAAGACATCAGGAAACTTTTGCAAAAAATAAGGGACAAAACCCCTCTATACATAAAATTTGAGGAAAGTCAACTGAACAGGCAAAAGAAAAATTAAAATAATATATGGCCATAGAAAGCCTACTTCTTTGTTTAATTGCAAAAGGCCGTCCTGCACAAGGATGGTTCTCAGAATTTTTTTCCCTAAAATGGATATGTGGTCCTTCAGTTTACAAAGTTTGAGAAATACTGCTCAAGGAAGTGATTTCTCAGAGTGTAGCTGTAAATATCACACTGCAGTTCATTTAAGAGGAAGAGTATATGTAATCTGTTTGCATTTCCCATGGCTCCCTACCATGTAATTTCTTTGGCATGTAGCAAGACGATTCCGTTCCAATTTCTGTTTTCTATAAAAGGGGCACTGATCTTACCCTCTACCTATTTTTATGAAACTTCTTGGACATTAATTTCCTTGAGGTGTCTTCCATTCTTTGAGATTTATTTTAAATTTCCCAATAGATTCAGTTGTTACAGAGAGCTGACAGTGTAGCTGCTTTAAGCTTTGCTTCCTTAAAAAAAGCAGGCTCTCTATATGTGCCTTTGGGGAGAGCTATTAAAAAAGTCCAAACACTCTTGTTACTGTTTTTCTCATTGAATACTAATTATTTTTGCTGCAGGTGCAATCATGGAGGAACAAGCAGCAAAGCATCTTGGTGTGAAGATATGCAAGTTTATTCCAAAACACTCTCGAAACTTAGCCAATGAATTTCGATGTTATGTGAACTATGCTTCTGGACTGGACTGATTCTCGTAAGATCCACAACCTTTTCAGTCAAGATCCTTTCTGTTTTTTATCAGTGACTCCACATTTCTCAATGCTGAGCTAGCTTTCATCCACACAGTGTGATGGCCTCTCTTAAATGTGTAAGCATTTGCAGTTATTGTGTTTTGTATCTTCTCACCAATGCAGGTGCTAGATCATGGGATCTTCTCTGTTAGAGTTTCATTCTACCTGGTAGTTTTTACCATTCAAAGACTCTTCAGTGATCTCTCTGAAGTGATTTTTAGCTGGCTGGCTTATAACAACACATAGGTGCTTGCCTCACAGACATCAGAGTCATCACTGCATCAGAACTGATGACTTGGGAACTACTGGGTGGTTGAAAGAGCATGAATGTCTCCTTTCAATCTTGAGAGATGCTTCCTTAGTAAAAGGATTGAGAGATGTTTGTTCTGAGCGTGTCATGTGTCTTCAGATCCATTATCTAGCAGGCCGATGTTTTTATAAATTATAACTAGAAAATAGGTCTCCTTCTGGGGAGGCCTCTCCAGTTGCTTTTAATAATAACCAGAACTACGTACCAGTTGCCAAGTAAGATAAAATCTGCTGTCCACTATTGTTGCCAGACTGGCTTTTTAAAAACTGGTGGTTATTATTTCACCTTTTCTCTAAAGCCTTGTCACAAACCCAAACTTTCTTCTTGTAAAAATAAGATCTATTTTGTCATCACTTACCACCATATAAACTTGTGCATGTATGTGTGCTGTACTAGAGAAAAGGGTAAGTTGTTAAATGTCTCTTTGCAGAAGTACGGTGCATTTATTTTGCGATGTTTATGTGTTAGAGCAACAAAATGAGCTTTTAAAAAACCATAGAACTAGGCTCTTCTATTTACTAGTTAAGTTAATCTTTAGAAGTGGTATAAACCTGATGTCGTCTTGAAAAAAGCACAATAAGGAATTCCGCATTATCCCCATTAGAGAAAGCTTTACTTCCACTAAGAATCCTATACATTAGTCAGGCCAAATCACCTGAAATACAAAGTAATTACTAAATAAAAATGCAACGTCAGCTAGTGCTTGCATTACTGCTTCAGACTGTGTTCATGGGTTCTCCCTTTGAATTACTCTTACCGTTGGTTATGAGAACTTGTGTAGCAATGTGACCCATACATGTTAGTCTGTTAAATCTTGAATCATAATGGATCTGATTAAATATAGTGTCTGCTTTTTAACAGATTTCAATATCAAGCTAAAGATGATTTACAAGTATGTCAAGTTTGTAGTTCCAAGAACAGTCCTTTTGCCCAGCTTTATCCTTGCCTCCTGTTCCACAGAGAGCAGTAGAGCAGTAGAATAGAAGTATTTTAGAAATCTTTGACTCTTACAAGGCCACTGAGGTATAACATGTATTGATAAACTCCCACTGTTTCTAATAGACAAATGTTAGATCTTATATAAAAGGTTTGGCCTATATTTCAATCAATTTCAACCAACATAGATGATACATTAGAAAAACTTTCCTTTGGGATAGTAGAGATTTTTGTTAACTGGTAATTTTTAAAGCCGGTTTTGAGAAACCTTTGACTGCACTACTAATGTATTTTTGGTTGAAAGCTGGTTCATAAACTCCAAGGCACTCAACAGTTCTATCAGCTATAAATATACTATACAAAGCATAAGTACTTCTCTTTATGCACCATATTTATGTATCGGGATTGTGTAAAAGGCTAACAGAAATGCTACATCTACAAAATGAAGCACTTAAAATGAAATATTAAGAAATCTGTGGTGGGGATAAATCTAATTAAGCTTGTGAGACAAGATTTTTCATCAGGTAGAGATAATACTCATGTTTCTATGCATTTCTGCTGTTGGGATGCAGATTTTCCTGTCTGGTGGAGTAAACAAATGAGGAGGAACAATGTATATGGAATATAATCCTCAGTGCTGAGAGAATCGTGCTTCCTGAGCTGGACACAACACTGGTTCATAAATACCCATCCAAGCCCCTGTTGCTCTCTTCCCCACTTTCCAAGAGCTCCGTTCAATTCGTAAGGCCTCCTCCTGTTTTGTATCTGCTGCTTTCTCCCCACTCTCCCCCATATAGTTTCACGATACCAGCTTTCTTTTTCTTTCACATGTCTTGGTTTCTGTCAGATTGGTAATAGGTATTGTTAAAATGAGAAGAGTGCAGCAGAGGAAGAGCTCGCAGGGAGAACAGAGATCAGGCTCTTCTGACAGTCTCTGTGAGCCCACGGCCAATGCCGTTTTGCCTTTCACACCAGAAGCCATCCTTGCTGCTAAGCCCAATAGAGCCAGAATCCCCCCTGAAAATGACTGGCCACAGCTGACATACGGCTGGATTTGGCTATTTTCCAGGAGGCTACACTATTAAATAATTACTTTTACATGGCCAGTTTCAAAATAAGAAAGCAAACCAGAATGTTAAATGCACAGGTATTGGCACAAACCTGTACTTCACAGTTGTAAACCATTTTATTACCTCAGTGTCTTGCACACCAAGGAGATGGAGACAATGAAGTAACTCCTGAAACTCTAACTACATAAAGACCTCAAGTGGGACAGGTATGATTGCCAGAAGTGATTATATTCTTCCCCTGACAGCCACCTACATTAGAACATGCTATTCACATACAACCTTCAACTATGTCACTGCTGTGCTATTAATTCCTTCAGTTGTCTGCTTAATTTTGGTAAATGTGTTTTTGGGATCTCTATATCAGAATTAAAATACATCTTTGTTAACCTCATCAGAGACCTTTCTTAAAAAAAATAAAAGTACAATGTTCAGTTGTACCAAGAAATTCAGTTCACCAACAAAATAACTGCTGCTTCTTACACATAGGTCAGACAGCTTTGAAAAGAGGCACTGTGAAGATTCACGATTACAAAAAATGAGGGTGCATGTAAAGCTGTCTAGATGCACTCAACAGAGCAGTTCATTGTCCACTGGCTTTCCTCTTAAAAGCCTGGTGAGCACCGGCAGCTGCCCAAGCAGAGCTTGACTAGTGGCATTCACAGCCTTCATCAATGAGAGGAAGAAAACTATTTTTGTCATACTTGTTTCTAAGGAAGTAGCTGTGTTTCTGAGAAGGCTGCAAGTCACAAAAATTCATACTGAATTTGTACTTTGTGCCAGTGCAGTAACTTTAAGAAATAATCTGTGATAGCAAAATCTACCTTCTTTTTCTGTAATAGGATTCTGAAAAAAAAACTTCAGTGTCAAGTAGTGATTGGTTTTATTGTGGATGTCTCATGGATTGATTTCCTCTGTGAGCAGACTGTGGTGAAGTGTTACCACCATGCTACTTTTCCAGTGGCATTTACAACTGCAGAAGTCTATGATGGGCTACAGCCTCTTGGCTGCAGGACCAGGCACTGTGCAGCAGCAGGACATCTCAGTGCCCTGCTGTCGGTATGAAGGTGACACTTGGCAGAGGAAACCTGGGGTCTTGTGCATAGCTGATGGCTGTAGGTGGAAGAGAATACACTGCTGCGGGCACCTCACCCTATATGACAAATGAAGCATTTCTAGAAATGCCGTTGCGTGAATTCCAAGTTACTGCTTTCATCAAGAGCTAATCTGCATTGCCCTTTAAACATGGTGCTCTCAGCTCAGTGTTGCACAGGTAGCCCATCTCTGCACCACACAATGGCCTTCACCCTTCCACCCGTGCCTCTCTGTGCCAGAACAAGTAGGAAACATCTCTGATGGTTGGCCTTGTCACTCTCCTTTGGTTATTTGCAGGGTGCACCCCAGTTCTGTGCAGTGAGGTGGGAAACAGGGCATCTGGGACTGAGTTGCAGAAGCCGCTCATCAACCAGTGTCACCACTGTGCTGCTGCTCTGGTTCTACTCACGTTTTGCAACCCCCTTAGATAGGAGTGCTATTACACACCAAACCATGTAGGATTGACTACAACTCCTTCATGTGCCCTAGTCCAAGCATGTAAATCTGTTCATTAATCCCAGCGAGATTAATGCGTGTTACACTTTGTGAGTGCATCATACCTTTTTTCCCTTTTCCCCTTGTTGCTGGTGATTTCATGTTTACTTGCAGTTGTAAACCTCTGCCTATTCAGACCTCCATGTAAGGACTGGCTAGTAAACCAAAACTAGTATCTCAGGCTTTTCTCAATCTTCCTGCATGATATGAATTTTCCAACATATCTTAAGTGATAATACAGAGAAGAAAATAATCGCTTTACCAAGGATATTGTTCTGTGTTTTGTTGCTCCTAATGTATTCCAGGGACAACCTCATTGAAGGAAAAGATTTTCCTGGCACAACAAAAATTTTCTCAAATCAGCTGCAGCTGCCAGATAGTTTCAGCTTTGAATTGTTTGCATTTATTAGGCCTGGAGTTGGTTCAATGAGGCATTTCATGTCTGCCTTGTGTCAACAGTTTGTGAGCCTTGAAGCAACTCCAATGAATCCACCCTCCCCACATGCAAATTAAAGGCAAGGCTGCAGCAGCTGTAACCAGAGGGCTAGAAGCTGGAAAATGTCACACCACAGTTAAAGTGAAACTGATATAAATCCATGATGTGATGATCTCTTTAAAAAAAAACTAATCCAAACGCAAACTACATTTAATACTCAGCCTTTCCCACATGAATAATGTGGAGAGGGTTTATATGTGGAAGGATATTTTGAAGGTTAACAAATGTTTTTTGTAGCTAGTAGTTCTTGATGCTAAGTATTAACAAACACTTGCTCGCTAACAAATTGTTATCAAACAGTTGCTCACACTAAAACATAAACATAGCTTTTAAGAGACACCTTACTGGAAAGCTGTATCAGGAAGCAAATTGTCTCAGCTAAAAAGTCTGCCACAGAAGCTAGTGAGGATTAAAACAGGAAAATGGGCTTCAGAGTAAGATAACATGAGGTTGCCTGTAACCACAGGAAGCTTTCTGCACTTGTTGCAGTACGACAAGAAGGTCGCCAACATACATAATCTATTGATCCATGGAGGTTTTGCAGTTCTCTAATAGTTTCCTTTCAGTCATCCAATTCCTGAAGCTATACATAAGCTAAAGCATCTGTTTTTTCTGGACTGGTAAAACTGATTGTCT